CCCGCCTGGCCTCCCAAAGTGCTGGGATTATAGGTGCGAGCCACCCCCACCGTACATGACCCACACAGCTCATTTCAAAGACTCAGTGTGACAAGAAAAAGAAACTTCATTATCTTGTCAAGAATTTTATGTTAATTAATGTTGAAGTAATATGTTAGCTACACTGGATTAAATAAAATATTAAAATTAGGCGGGGTACGGTTGCTCACACCTGTAATCCCAACACTTTGGGAGGCCGAGTCAAGTGGATCACCTGAGGTCAGGAGTTCGAGACCAGCCTGGTCAATATGGTGAAACCCCATCTCTACTAAAAATACAAAAAAATTACCTGGGCATGGTGGTGGGTGCCTGTAATCCCAGCTACTTGGGAGTCTCAGGCGACAGAATCGCTTGGACCCAGGAGGCAGAGGTTGCAGTGAGCTGAGATCGCGCCATTGCACTCCAGCAATGAGCAACAAGAACAAAACTTCGTCTCAAAAAAGAAAAGAAAAGAAAAGAAATTAAAAACAAGACCTTTTGTGCAGTGGCAACCCCCCTCCACCATCCGATCCCAGGACGGTCCAGCAGGAAGGTCAGGGCCACGGACTGGGAAAGTGTGGGAGAGAAGGGCACCCTGGACAGCCCGCCGCCGGGCATTTCACTCATCAGTGCGTGGTTTGCTTTCCCGGGTGGTACCTCGCCTTGAAAGATGTTTGCATCCAAAGGGGGCCCTGAAGGGTCCTTTGTTTTCACTTCGCAGCACAGCCAGACGATATTCCGACCAGAAAGGATGGGTCTGTTATTGAAGTAGTAGACGAATATGCCTGGTTTCATTCGCTCCACCATGTTTCTGAAGACATAAGAGAGAAACCAACCAATGCAGAGAGCACTCCTGGGTGCCCTCTGGGCGAGTATCCACTAAACACAGCCCCCTGGATGGCTCTAGGCCTCCCCCATCCCTCCACAGCCCTGAGAATTTCAGCAGAGATTGCAGTGAGCTGAGATCGCGCCACTGCACTCCAGCCTGGGTGACAAGAGCGAAACTCTGTCTCAAAAAAAAAAAAAAAAAAAAAAGAGAAAAAAAAAGAAAGAGAGAGAGACAGAATAAAACTTTTCACCCCAAAATAATAGCTTTTAACCTTTTAACTCAGTTCCTTCCTGCCATTTCACCTCTGTATATTACTATTGTTAAATCACGGTAGAACCGAATTCTGAGGCCCAGGCCACTCTTCTAAGTGCTGCGTGGGTTTGAACTCATGTGAGGCTGCCCTAGGCCTGCAGGGGCCATTCCCATCTTATAGAGGAGGGGCCAGAGGCGCAGAGAGGCAGGGTAACCTGCCCAGGCCACAGAGTTGTGGACAAATGGAGTGGGGGCCCCTTTCCAGGCCAGCCGTGTCCAGTCTGTGTATTACCAGCCCTGCAGGAGGGAGCCACTGGGGACTGGGCTCTCTTCTTACTAAATTTTAAAATAAAAGCATTTCCCTGGATCATTGAGATTTTTCCCATGTATTTCATGTTTTTGTTTTTGTTTTTTTTTTCTTTTGAGATGAGGTTTTGCTCTTGTTGCCCAGGCTGGAGTGCAATGTGGCGATCTTGGCTCACCGCAACCTTTGCCTCTTGGGTTCCAGCGATTCTCCTGTCTCAGCCACCCGAGTAGATGGGATTACAGGCGCCTGACACCACACCTGGCTAATCATGTATTTCTAGTAGAGACAGCGTTTATCCATGTTTGTCAGGTTGGTCTCAAACTCCCGACCTCAGGCAATCCGCCCGACTCGGCTTCCCAAAGTGCTGGGATGACAGGCGTGAGCCACCTTTCCTGGCCACTATATTCCATGTTACTGGTGTCATTATAAATGGTGAATGCTGATCGTAGAGGAAGAGTGTATGTTTGGGGTCATCTGCATCCTCCTCTGCCCACAGTGGAGACATCTTTGGAAGACATGATTTATCTTGTGCTTCAGAGACCATTCCCTCCCCACACCCTCTCCTAAGACTTGGTATTTAAGCAAAGTAAATCTTACAGAAAATCCATCGAAGCTCTGTGAACAAAATTCCACATTGCTCCAATCATAATTTGGTTCAATTCTCCCAGTTCCAGAGTTCAGGAATGGCAGGAAGCACACAGAGGGAGCACCCTCCCAGGGCAGGGAGCACCACCTCAGTCATGACTTTCACGGGAGAGTCTCAGCAGGGGACCTGGACTGGGGCAGGTGGGGGAGGCGGCCCATTCAGAAGTAGCAGTGGGGCGACCACACAGCAGGGCAAGGAGCCTGGCTGGGAATGGGGATTGCAGGGGAACCAGAGGGGAGGGAGCCCAGGGCTTGGGCTAGGGCAGGGGGAGGCCAGGGCTGACGCCCAGCAGGGCCACCAGGGAGGAAGGGGCAGCAGAAGGGCCCAGCGGGTAGAGTGGGCAGCAGTACCTGATTTGAGGATTCGTCCTTTGCCGGCTAGTCCTGACTATGATCTTTGTCTGGTGCACCACGGTTTCGCTTTCTGCTACAGGTTCCTGGTTTTAGGACAGCCCTCCTTAAAGTGACCTCCCAGGGCCTTGTGAGTCATGGCCACTCCCCCTTCCTGCTCTGGCACTGGTGTGGGAGGCGCTGGGATGCTTTGTCTTCCTCAGGCTCTCACTCTCTTTCTGGTTTTCTCTGGGGCCCTCCCCCTGGCAGAGGGACATTTCTAAAGACAGGCCGCTCTGTGCAGCAGGACCCAAGGCGGGTCCACAACAGGCTGAGTCAGCAGAGCAGACGCCCCTCCCCTGGTTGTCCCGCCCAGCTGGAGCCGCCTCTCCACCCTCAAGACAGACAGGCTGATGCCTCTGCTGGGACTCCCAGATCCTGCCCTCAGGGATCATCCCAGAGACACCTTCCACCCAGCAGCCATGGGGACAGGGAGGGAGAGTGAAGGGCATGGCGTCTGCCTCCCCCCAGGCCTTCACACTCGGAGGCCACCATGCGAGGGAGGGGCAGCAGGTGGGGGTGGGCCTCAGATGTCCCACCAGGATGTCATGCGCACCCCCAAACTGAGCTCCTTCCTTCCTGCTTCTCCTTCCCCATCTCCTGCCCGGAGTTGCTCCCTGGTAGGATGAACTTTTACCCTCTCTTGTCCCCATGTCATGGAAGGGCAGCGGCTGGTGTCCCAGGCCAGCCTGTCTGGAGTCTCTCTGTGGGTCTCACAGCTCCCTTCCCCTGGTAGCGTGCTCCCATAGTGCAGAGACCTAAAAATCACACAAGGTGTATATACATTTGTCTTTTTGTTTGTTGGTTGGTTGGTGGTTTTTTGTGCTTTTCTCAGATGGAGTCTTGCTCTGTTGGCTAGGCTGGAGTGCAATAGCGTGATCTCAGGTCACCGCCACCTCTGCCTCCCAGGTTCAAGCAATTCTCCTGCCTCAGCCTCCCAAGTAACTGGGATTACAGGTGCCTGCAACCATGCCCAGTTAATTTTTGTATTTTTAGTAGAGGCAGGGTTTCTCTATATTGGTCAGGCGGGTCTCGAACTCGTGACCTGAGGAGATCCGCCGGCCTCAGCCTCCCAAAGTGCTGGGATTATAGGTGTGAGCCACCATGCCTGGCTACAACATATGAATTTGGAAAGGAGACTTTATTTCTTGATAAGGGTGACAGCCTGCAGGTGGCCATCCCACAGCCTGGGAAAAGCAGCCTCTGGGAAACACCAGAGACAGACATTTAGAAGCAGGAGGGGTTGGGGCAGGAGCTTTAAGCTGAAGGGGTTGGCTAAACATACATATTCAACAGGCTACAGGAGGAGCTATGAATATTCATGTAGGTGGCTGCAGTCCATGCTTGTTGAACAAACATGTGTGTAACACATGATCCCAGGCGGGCACAGTGGCTCATGCCTGTAATCCCAGCACTTTGGGAGGCCGAGGCAGGTGGATCATCTGAGGTCAGTGTCAGGCCTCTGAGTCGGAGCTAAGCCATTGTAACCCCTGTGAACTGCACATATACATCCAGATGGCCTGCAGCAGCCAAGAAGTCTGGAGCAGTTGAAAAACCACAAAAGAAGTGAAACAGCCAGTTTCTCCCTTAACTGATTAACCAACCTTGAGACATTCCACCGTTATGACTTGCTCCTGCCCTGCCCTAACTGATCAATCATCCTTATGACACTTTTCCTGGACAATGGGTCTCATGGTCTCCCCACCACGCACCTTGTGACCCCCTCCCCTGCTGACAACAGATGACCACCTTCGACTGTAACTTTCCGCTGCCTACCCAAGTCCTATAAAGCTGCCCCCGTCCTATCTCCCTTCGCTGACTCTCTTTTCAGACTCAGCCCTCTTACACCCAAGTGAATAAACGGCCTTATTGCTTACACAAAGCCTGTTTAGGTGGTCTTCTATATGGACACGTGTGACAGTCAGGAGTTCGAGACCAGTCTGGCCAATATGGTAAGACCTCGTCTCTATTAAAACTACAAAAATTAGTCGGGCGCGGTGGCGGGTGCCTGTAATTCCAGCTACTCAGGAGGCTGAGGCCGGAGAATCACTTGAACCTGGTAGGTGGAGGTTGCAGTGAACTGAGATCATGCCACAGCGCTCCAGCCTGGGAGACAGAGTGAGAGTCCATCACAAAAACAAACAAACAGCAACAACAACAACAAAAAACTAAAAAAAACCCAACCATATAATCCTTCCTCATGTTGTGGTGGAGACAACATTTAAATATACTACAATTAAACCTGTATTAAGGGAGGAGACCACCCCTCACATTGTCTTATGCCCAATTTCTGCCTCCAAAGAAAGAAAAAGTAAAAACTAGAAGGCAGAAATGAAATCCACAAGCAGACAGCCCGGCACCACACCCTGGGCCTGGTAGTTAAAGATCGACCCCTGACCTAATCGGTTATGTTTTCTATAGATTACAGACATTGTATCGAAAAGCACTGTGAAAATCCCTATCCTGTTTTGTTCCAATCTAATTACCGGTGCATGCAGGCCCCCCCAGTCACATACCTCCTGCTTGCTCAATCAATCATGACCCTCTCATGCACACCCCCTTAGAGTTGTGAGCCCTTAAAAGGGACAGGAATTGCTCACTCAGGGAGCTCGGCTCTTGGGACAGGAGTCTTGCCCATGCCCCCGGCCAAATAAAGCCGTTCCTTCTTTAACTCAGTGTCTGAGGAGTTTTGTCTGCAACTCATCCTGCTACATTTCTTGGTTCCCTGACCGGGAAGTGAGGTGATTGGCGATGGTCAAGGCAGCTCCTTAGGCGGCTTAAGCCTGCCCTATGAAACATCCCTGTGGGGGGACTCCAACCAGCCCGAGCAACGCGGACCCTGAGAGCGCTCCCCAGTAGGCATTTGCCCCGGTGGGAAGCCTCGCCAGAGCAGTGTGCGGCAGGCCCCCATGGAGGATCAACGCAGTGGCCGAACACTGGGAAGGAATGGGCACTTGGAGTCTGGACATCTAAAACGTGGTAAGAGTCGTCTTTGAAACTTGCCCACTCCGTTTGTGTGGAAGCATGGGCTGATCATCCGTGGCGTGCCTTTATCGGCACTTTGGTTTTGGTTTTGACTTGGTTTGAATTGCTTGACAGGATTGGTCCTGGGAACTTGCCTACTCCATTTGAGTGGAAGCGTGGCCTGATCACACATGGTGTGCCTGTACCAGCACTTTGGTTTTTGTTTTCGACTTGACTTGGCTTGCTTGATACTTTGGTTTTGGTTTTGACCTGGCTTGGATTTCTGGATACTCTGATTTTGGTTTTGGTTTTAATTTTGATTTTGGTTTGATGCAAACTGCAAAAGTTTGTGTGTGTCCTTTTTACCCATTCTTTGTTTTGTGGTGTGTGTGTGGTGTGAGCATGGTGTTTTGTCTCGAAGAAGCATAGGTGAGGCACAAATAAGCCCACCCCACTAGGAACTATGTTCAAAATTTTCAAAAAAGAATTTAAGGGAGACTATGAAGTACTGTGACACCAGAAAAACTTAAAACTTTGTGTAAGATAGACTGGCCAGCATTAGAGGTAGGTTGGCCATTAGAAGGAAGCCTGGACAGGTCCCTTGTTTCAAAGGTAATGGCACAAGGTAACCTGTAAGCCAGGGAACCCAGACCAGTTCCCGTATATAGACATTTGGTTACAGTTGGTTTTAGACCCCCTGCCCCAACACACAGTGGTTGAGAGAAAACCAGCATAAGCGGCTGGCAGAGGCAAGGAAAGACCAGCAGAAAGAGAGAGAGAAAAAGAGGCAAAGAGAGAGGAAGAGACAGAGAGGAAGAGACAGACAAAGAGGGAGTCAAGGAGAGAGAGAGAGAGAAAGAGAGGCAGAGAGAGAGAGAGAGAAGAAGAGACAGAGGCAAAAGGAAAGTCGGCCGGGCGCGGTGGCTCAAGCCTGTAATCCCAGCACTTTGGGAGGCCGAGACGGGCGGATCACGAGGTCAGGAGATCAAGACCATCCTGGCTAATACGGTGAAACCCCGTCTCTACTAAAAATACAAAAAAAAAAACTAGCCGGGCGAGGTGGCGGGCGCCTGTAGTCCCAGCTACTCCGGAGGCTGAGGCAGGAGAATGGCGTAAACCCGGGAGGCGGAGCTTGCAGTGAGCTGAGATCCGGCCACTGCACTCCAGCCTGGGCGACAGAGCGAGACTCCGTCTCAAAAAAAAAAAAAAAAAAAAAAAAAAAAAGCCAAGGTAAATTTAAAGCCTGTAATTGATAACTGAAGGTATTCTCTGTAACCTTATAACACTCCGATACCACTTTGTTGTCAGTGTAAACAAGAGCGTATCCTGAAAGCACTGAGGCCTTTCCATCAAAAATCCTTAACCCGGTAACCCACAGATGGCCCAAATGCATTCAATCTGTAGTGGCAACTGCTTTGTTAACAAACAAACAAACAAAAAAGGTGAAAAAAAACACAAACTTTTAGAGGAAACCTCATTGTAAGCATACCTCACCAGTTCAGAAGTATCCTAAGGAAAAAAAAAAAAGGAAAAAAAAAGGGGGGGGGGGGCAGAATTTATATAAAAAGAATATTCTATTGTAAATTCTTGTCCTGAAATAAGTTAATTGGTTGTTTAAAGAAAGAAATGTTTGTTAAAAGTCAGAAAGTTAAGGCATGTCGAAAAATTGCCTGTAAAAGCTGTGAAAGGAAAAAAAAAGGTTATTAAAAAGTGTGTCTTAAAAAAGAATGTATGCAAAACATGTTGTATAATTTAAAAGTAAGTAGGCCTCCAATTTAAAAGTAAGTAGGCCTCCTGAATGTAAAACTATTGAAAAAAAAAACAGTTTATGTGCAAGGTGTATAAGAAAAGTAAAATATACCTTTAGTAAAAGGATTATAAGGAGGCATAAGAAAGTACATTTTTACCTACATTAAAAAGCTTAAAAAAATGATTGTTTTGAAGGTTTAAGCAAGTTTTAAAACATTAACTGTAAAGAAAACTCTGTGTGTGAACACATTAGCTAAAGTTAAAGAAGTATCATCCAGTTTTTCTGTGAACTGGACATTAAAGTAAAAGCATAACAGGTTTTTCTTAAAGCATCAACCTGCTCTTTAGCAAAAATTATAAAATGTTAAAAAGAGTCTATAAAATCTTACCTTATAGTCAAACATTAAAAATTAGACAAATATGTCTACAAGGTTTTATTAAAATTAGATTTAACATTAATAATACACTACTATAAAATAAAATTTAGCTTATCTGGTATAAAAATCACATGAGAAGCATTGTTAAATGTAAAATGGTATTTGGATTTCTTTGGTTTAAAAACTAATAAAAATAGGTGCTAAAGGAAATTTCTCAGTAAAAAGGCACTAAGGGCTATAAAGTCTACTGCCAAGTTCCCCACATTTAAAACAAAAGGTCAATTTCTTAGCAATTAAATACTTGGTTTATCTTCCATTTCCTTTCTCTCAAAAACCAAAAGTCTTTTACCACATGTGCCACCCCTAGAATTTCCGGTAAACCAGCACCAGCCTGAAGATCACATTCTCATCGAAAGGTGCAAAGAAGAAAAACTCGAGCCAGCCTGGGAAGAACCCTATCTTGTGCTGCTAACCACCAAGGCTGCTGTTCATACAGCAAAAAAGGATGGACTCATCACACCCAAGTCAAGAAAGCACCACCCGCTCCAGAGTTGTGGGCCATAGTCCCAGAGGAAAACCCTACCAAACTAAAGCTAAGAAAAATCTAACTCTTTTCATCTATTCTATTACTCTTTCTTCTTTCCTCATTCTATTGCTGACCATCTAGTTATTAACATAACCAAGTCAATTTCACCTCAAACTATTGCATTTAATACTGGCCTTGTTATACCCTGTGAGGACTTGACATGTCAAAGACAGTTTTCTACTTCAGAAAAGTACTTCTGTCCCTCCTGACTCTCCTCAGACTGGGCATTAGTAAACTAGGACCATTTAATCCAGGGAGATTTCGATAAAGACCCCAGTGCCAACCAAGAGTCTTGCCCCCCAATGTAGAGCTTTCATGCCATAGTTGGTCCAACATTCTGTGGACCACTAAAGAGCAAGGATGGACTGCCCCAACCAGTTTTGTAATTTCCTAAAAGCATACATTCATTTTACTAGAGGATCATAGAAGTTAAAGACTTAAAACAAACTTTAGCACTTAAGACAGGATACCAAGATGCAAGTAGCTGGTTAAAATGGATAAAATATTCCATCTGCACATTAAACAAAAGCAATTGTTATGCTTGTGCACATGGCAGGCCAGAGGCCCAGACTGTCCCCTTTCCACTAAGGTGGTCCTCCAGTCGACCAGGTGTGGGCTGCATGGTAGCCCTTTTCCAAGATTCTACAGCCTGGAGTAATAAGTCGTGCCAAGCTCTCTCTGTTATATCTCAAAATCTGGCACCCTTGGGGTCAGCCCCTGAGGGCCACCCAGCCTCCTTCTCCCAACACTAAGTGCACTTCATGTCTCTCACAACAGGGATAAAACTTAGTGTTCCTTGGAGACCTGAAAGGATGCAGTGAGCTTAAGAATTTTCAAGAGCTTATCAATCAGTCAGCCCTTGTTCATCTCCGAGCGGATGTGTGGTGGTATTGTGGTGGACCTTTACTGGGCACTCTGCCAAATAACTGGAGTGGCACTTGTACTTTAGTCCAATTGGTTATCTCTTTCATCCTGTTATTTCATCAACCAGAAGGAAAAAAATAAGACATCATAAAGCAAGAGAAGCCCCTGATGGGTCTTTCGACTCTGATGTCTATTTAGACACAATTGGAGTCCCACAAGGAATACCAGATCAATTTAAAGCTTGAAATCAAATAGCTGCAGGATTTGAGTCAATATTTTGGTTGCTGACAGTTAATAAAAATGTAGATTAGATAAACTACATCTATTACAACCAACAGCAATGAGCTTTTCATGAGTTAAAAGAAAAACTCATGTTGGCCCCAGCCCTGAGGCTACCTGACCTGACAAAACTCTTTGCACTCTATGTGTCAGAAAGATAAAAAATGGCAGTTGGAGTTTTAACCCAGACTGTGGAGCCCTGGCCAACGCCAGTGGCCTATCTCTCAAAACAACTAGACACGGTTTCCAAAGGCTGGCTCCCAGGTCTAAGGGCCCTAGTAGCAAAGGCCCTGTTAGCACAAGAAGCAGGTAAACTAACCCTTAGGCAGAACCTGAATATAAAGGCCCCCTATGCTGTGGTAACTTTAATTACTACCAAAGGACATCATTGGTTAACAAATGCTAGATTAACCAAGTACCAAAGCTTGCTATGTGAAAATCCTCACATAACCATTGAAGTTAGCAACACTCTAAACCCCACCACCTTGCTCCCGGTGTCAGAGAGCCCAGTTGAACATAACTGTGTAGAGGTTTTGGACTCAGTTTATTCTAGCAGGCCCAACCTCCGAGACCATCCTTAAACATCAGTAGACTGCGGGCAGTATGTGGACGGAAGCAGCTTCGCTAACCCCTGCAAAGTGACTCTGAAGAAGACGACAAGCCCCGCTCCAGTCACACCCGGAAGCTGACTGGTCCATGCACGGCCAAAGCATGAGGAAACTCATCGCAGGACTCATTTTCCTTAAAATTTGGACTTTTGCAGTAAGGACTTCAACTGACCTTCCTCAGACTGAGGACTGTTCCCAGTGTATACATCAAGTCACTGAGGTAGGACAAAAAGTTGCTATGGTCCCATTATTTTATGGTAGGCTCTGCTTACTCAATCAATCATGACCCTCTCATGTGCACCCCCTTAGAGTTGTGAGACCTTAAAAGGGACAGGAATTGCTCACTCAGGAGGCTAGGCTCTTGAGACAGGAGTCTTGCCAATGTCCCCAGCGGAATAAACCCCTTCCTTCTTTAACTTGGTGTCTGAGGAGGAGTTTTGTCTGTGGCTCATCCTGTTACAGTATGTCAAAAGGTCCTGTCAGGCCTCTGAGCCAAAGCTAAGCCATCATGTCCCCTGTGACCTGCACAGCCACATCCACTGCCTTAACTGATGACATTCCACCACAAAAGAAGTGAAAATGGCCTGTTCCTGCCTTAACTGATGACATTACCTTGTGAAATTCCTTTTCCTGGCTCATCCTGGCTCAAAAGCTCCCCCACTGAGCACCTTGTGACCCCCACCCCTGCCAGCCAGAGAACAACCCCCTTTGACTGTCATTTTCCTTTCCCTACCCAAATCCTATAAAACAGCCCCACCCGTATCTCCCTTCACTGACTCTCTTTCGGACTCAGCCCGCCTGCACCCAGTGATTAAAAAGCTTTATTGCTCACACAAAGCCTGTTTGGTGATCTCTTCACACGGATACGCGTGAAAGGTCCTTTCAGGACATGAAGTCACTGAAATTTGCCACGTCTGTAAACCACGCAGAACCAGTCCGTGGTCCATGGTCTGTGTCCATGGTTTCTGATCTGGAGAAAGTCACTGAAATCAGTCTCTTGTGCAGGGAAAGCAGGAATGAGGGCTGTGGAGCAGGGGCTCTGTGGCTCCGTGTCAGGACGCTGGATGAGCTGTGATTGTTTTCATCTTTATCTGGAGGCAGTGCTTGTTTAGCTGCTAGAGCAAAAGAAAAACTCTGTGGCAGGCAGAACAGAGTTTACTGTTGAAGTGTGGGCTGTGTGACCTCACCCTTGCCTGGCACGGCCTGAGGTCCTGGTTGTGATTTGGTATCTTATTGCCATGAAGAGTCTGTTCTGGTTCTGCCCGTCTTACGATTCTGTTTTAACATTACCGCTGGTCAGTTGTGTCTAAACTGAGTGTATCTCTCTGATCCACCTGGCATTCACTCCATTTCCTCATATTTCGTTCTTTCCTGTTCCTCACCCTGGTCACACTTGACTTATCACCCTTTACCCCAAAATCTTTCTTCAGTTTAATCTCTCCCACACTGCCCCTAATCCCACTCAAACCAGCCCTGAGAAACATCACCCATTATCTCTCCATACCACCCTGAAAAATTTTCACTGCCCCAACACTTCACCACTATTTTGTTTTATTTTTCTTATTAATGTAAGAAGACAGGAATGTCAGGCCTCTGAACCCAAGCCTGCAGGTATACATCCAGATGGCCTGAGGCAGCTGAAGAACCACAAAAGAAGTGAGAATGGCCGGCTAATTTTTTGTATTTTAAATAGAGACAGGGTTTCACTATGTTGGCCAGGCTAGTCTCAAACTCCTAACCTCATGATCCACCCACCTCAGCCTCCCAAAGTGCTGGGATTACAGGCATGAGCCACTGTGCCCAGCTCCTGTATTTCTTAAATATATTTGATTGATAGCTCTTGCCTCTCTAAAATATATAAAACCAAGCTGCACCGCCACCACCTTGGGCACATGTTCTCAGGACCTCCTGAGTGCTGTATCATGGGCCATGGTCACTCGTATTTGGCTCAGAACACATCTCTTCAATATTTTACAGAGTTTGACTCTTTTTGTTGACAGGCCCAAGACCCAGGTGCCCACTCCCTGTCTCCTCTGAGGGCTCAAGCTTCCCATTCTCTAGCCCCTCTGGTTCCTGGTTGCCCTTCTACTTTCTGTTCTGCTTTAACTGTTGACATTACCTTGTGAAATTCCTTCTCCTGGACAATGAGTCTCAGAAGCTCCCCCACCGAGCACTTTGTAACCCTGGCCCCTGCCCACAAGAGAAAAACCCCCTTTGACTGTAATTTTCCACTGCCCACCCACATCCTATAAAACTGCCCCACCCCATCTGCCTTTGCTGACTCTTTCCGGACTCAGCCCACTTGCACCCAAGTGAAATAAATACCCTTGTTGCTCATACAAAACCTGTTGGTGGACTCTCTTCACATGGACCTGTGTGACACTATCTAAGGGGTCTGGGGATTCATGCCCTACCAAGCATATATCCTCATCAGATGGGTTCTATTTTTATTTTATTTCATTTTATTTTAATTAAGACCGAGTTTCACTCTTCTTGCCCAGGCTAGAGTACAATGGTGCAGTCTTGGCTCACTGCAACCTCTGCCTCACGGGTTCAAGCAGTTCTCCTTCCTCAACCTCCCAAGTAGCTGAGATTACAGGCATCTGCCATCACATCCAGCTAATTTTTGTATTTTTAGTAGAGACAGGGTTTTCACCATGTTGACCAGGCTGGTCTCGAACTCTTGACTTCAGGTATCCACCCACCTAGGCCTCCCAAAGTGCTGGGATTACAGACATGAGCCACTGCACCCAGCCCAGATGGGTTTTATTTAACCCTATATATTGTGAGTTATTTTCCAGTCTGACTCAGGCACAAAATTATGTGACAAAGAAGAAAGACAAAACATTTTACCCCAAAACATGTTTCTTTGCCATATCTTGAAATGGCCCTGCAAAGTTGTCCTTTGTGGGGGAAAATCTGCATCTGTGAAGAATCTCTGTTAACATAGCTGGGTCTTTTTCTTCCAGGCCCTCACAGTCCTAAACAGATTAACTAATCGCACCTTTTAAAGACCTGAATGGGACAGCTTTGTCGTCTATTGTCTCTAAGGGCAGCCACTATGAGACCTCAAAAGAACCTTGGTCTCCACAATCTTAGGTTCTTTGGTCTCCACAGTCTTTTATCTTAACCTGAACATTTCCTTTCTATGGATGCCAGGTCTCTA